TATTACCAACTTCCATCTCTCTTCTTCAATTCCTTGATTTGGATCACCATCTCCAAACACAAATGAGAAGACCTATATAGAAATAATTACAAAAACATTTTTCTTTATGAGGTACAAGAAACAAACATGAAAGACAAATAATATTCATTTGCTCACACACCGATTCAATGAAGTTCATCTTTTCATCATCAGTTTGTATCCTTCGTCTCCTATAGTAATACGGATCCCAGTACCTTCCAAAGCATATAAAATTATAGACATATAGCCAACATTCATCTCAAAAAATCAATTTTTTGGGTTAAATGCAACAAGACAAGTCATTTATAGATAACAATGACTATGATATGGATGAAGAGGATTAATTACATGTCTAACATAATAAAAACAGCTGTAATTCACCTTTGCCTTCTATCAGGGGCTAATATACTCGAGCATAGAAAAATTTTAAGAATTTTACAATGGAGAAGCAAACTCTCTCCTGAAATCAATGCTCCTATAATCAAGAGTCAAGAACTTTACCCCTATCTTCGAATGCACTTTTAAGGGCTGGCAGGTATACAAAATAAAATGGAATTTAAATTAGAATGTATTGGGTAAAAATGATTTTTGTGGATAAGAAATGTCCTTTGTGCCCCTGAACGAAAGAATTAATAAAAAAGATAGTTACTACTTCTCTAGCCCTATTTATGAGACACTTTTGACATGTTTCATCAAAAGTATGAAAAACCTAAAACCCCATTAACTCTATCTTAAAATTTAATAACTTTTCAACTTTATTCTTATTTAATATATACTCTATACTTTCATGGCATGCCCATGAATAATAAAAAGGGTGCAATTGTAAAATCATGTAAAAAACTTAATGACACGACTTATAAATAGGGCAAAAAAATACTATCTCTTCCTTATAAGTAGGACAAAAGAAGTATTTATTATGATGATAGGGATATAATAAATAATGTACTCCTCTGGTCCTTAATATAGAATCCAATTCTTGAGTTGGTTTTGGTCCTAAATATAAGACCAATTTCTCATATTTATCAGTTTTCTCTAAATTACCCATATAGATACTCCCTCAACCATAATCAAGTAGAAGAGGGATAGGGGGTATTAAGAAAGATGATTATGGTGTTTTAGGAAAAATGAGTTACTTTTCTTATAATTAACTAACTTACCTAACTTCCTTAATCTAATCAAATTAGTTAAATGGGTCTTGTATTAAGGACCGGAGGAGTATATCTCAATTTTTTTTTTTTTTTTGGGTGTGAGAGAAAGGGATTGCCTTTCCCTAAATGGTACCAAAATTAGAGTAGATAAACTAAAATACAGAAGTGTTCTTGTAATTACACATTGTAGGATTGGTTTTCTTTAATCACTAAGTGATCGTGTTTAATTGCATAGTTTTGGTATCTAAATTTTAAATGAGACAAAGCAACTCACAAAAAATTCTGGGAAGAGATAAAGAGGTGAAAAAAGGAACTCAATTTTCTATGTTGCATTGTATCACATTAATACAATCACACCTATCACAAAAAGAATAGAATCACACCAATTTCTTCACACCATCTTCCTCTTCTCCACCTTCTATTCTATTATCTTCTTTTTCTATTCCATTTTCTCTTTGGGTCATTTTAGATGGCATATATGCAAAGAGAAACTGCCATAAATTTGTTCTTTGATTCCCGCCGGCAGAAAATCATACAAGCCACAAAGCAAAACCATTTAGGCTGTTTTTATAAACACAATTCTTAAGATACAAATGACAAAATCACCTGCCCCTCCCTCATCATCCCAAAATGTAACTATTAATATGGTGGTCTCCACATTGTTCAATCAAATAAGCCTATCACGCCTTTCTTAGAGCAATGTGCTTTTGAAACCCACTTAGGATTTGGAAGTAAACATTTTACCAGAAGAGGTCTACTGGATTGAAGTAGAAAGTGACTCCTGAATCATATGTTCTACCTCCCCGTCTTCCACGATTGTCCTCATCACTGCAAATATGTGACATGGTTAATGATTGAAAAGAACAAAGGTATCAAAACGTGTTATCGTCAGGAATTGGGATCAATAAAACTCAATCTAAAGAATCCAACATATGATGAAGTCGGTTGGTACCTTCTGCTAGAAATCAGAGCGATGATCGTAGTATAAACAATAACAATGGACGCTATAAGTGCTGTCCCAAAAGAAACCCTTATCAAGTATTCCCCAGTGGCCTGTCAAAGGCAATGTCATATAACATTAAGAACCAAAGCACGAAGCAAGACATCAGCAACAGTCAATAGATAAGGGGACAATGCCTGACACCTTTGCCTTTTCAAGAAAAGGTTCGGCTTTAATCCTAAATGACTTGGCTGCAAGCTTTGACCGATAATCTTTTGGAAACACATACAGAATATCACCTTCCTCAGAAACCTGCAACATACCATCTTGGAACAATTGTACTCACGAATCAAAAACTTAAAATAGGCCTAATGAAACAAGAGCTCAGAGTCCGTTTCGCACGATGCAACCTCACAAACTTCCAGATAACTACCTCTAAGAATCCATTGGTGTCAGCAGCAAGAGCCTGAAGAGCCTTCTGGGCCTCATTCAACTTAAGCCCAGCCTTGCTTGCCACATCCCCAATAGTCATCCTCCCTCCACACGAATCCACAGCATCCATTGTCCGCTTTCTCACATCAGACGGCAACTTATCGCTCTCCACAACGCCTCCCGGTCTAATCCCTTGAGGCAAATCAACACTCGCTCTCGCAATCGGCACCGAAACCCTGTAATCCCAAACCCTTCTAGGGAATCCCAGGAAGACTGGCTTTTGCATGACTGGGAACAGGTATGGGGGCTTAGCCAAAGACGAAGCTTTACATAAATTCTGAGCATGACTGTAGAATCGAGAGCTTGGCATCACAGTGAAGCATGTGGAAATGCTCGCCATTTGGGTGATTCCGGAAATTCGTTCCAAGTTTCAAGTTATCGACATGGAAGTTTCTGAGCCACAAACTTCGGATTTTCGGTGAAAGAAGAGAAGAAGCAAGCAATGAGCTTTGACTTCCGATTCGAAGTAATTAAGTGCGAACTCGGAAGTCCTTAATGTTGATGGTAGATTCCGAGGTGTTCAGCCACTGTCCAAGGTGTGGGCGAAAAGAAGGCGGGAGGATGAGGCTCGGATACGGACGAATCCGCCACCGGAAATAAATATAAAAATAATACTGTTCTATAAGAATCTTATATTTAAAATTACAAGAGTACTAAAAAACTAATTTAATTTTAATTTGTTTCTAAATATAAATTTTTAATTCATTTTATTTGCTATATTTTTTTAAAAAAATGATCCCTTATAATAGTTAAAAATTTAATCAAATAGTAATTTTAACTAATATATAATTAATAAAAGTATTTTAAAAAAAGTAATACATAATTATTACAAATAATTACTTCAATAAACTTTCTTAATCTATTTAAACCAGATAACTAGTTCTTATAATAAAAATCTGAAGAAGTATATAAATGTTACTTTGATTATAAATATAAAAACTAGTTAATAGTTCTAAATATAAGACTTTAATTACCTATTAATTTTAATATATTCTTATCCCAAATATAATTTTAATGTGCATAATTAAACAAAAATAATATAAAAAATTAATATATATTTATTATAAATAACTAATTTAATTAATTTTTTAAATTTATCTATATTGGTTATGTTGCTCTCAGGGATAGTACAACTTATACATATCATTGGAGCCAAATTTCTCATCATCCCAAAAAGATATCGGAGTCAAATTTAATTTGCACAAAAGAGAATGATAAAAAAAGAAGTTAGAAATTGTAAATCCCAAATCAGATTTGATAATATAATTTTATTTGGTATTGACAAGTCTGAATTTGTAAATGACAATAAATTTTTATTGATATTCCTTATTTGTCATTTACAAAATTCCAGTTTTTTTTTCATTGTCCTTTGTAAGAAAACTGAAATTTCATGAATTATACTCCTTCAGTCCTTAATATAAGACTCATTTAACTAATCTAATTAGATTAAGGAAGTTAGGTAACTTAGTTAATTATAAGAAAAGTGACATATTTTTCCTAACATACCATAATCATCTTTCTTAATACCCCTCTACCTCTTCTACTTGATTATAGTTGAGAGAGTATCCATATGGGTAATTTAGATAAAACTAATAAATATGAAAAATAGATCTTATATTTAGAACCAAAACCAACTCAAAAATTGGGTCATATATTAAGGACCAGAGGAGTAGTTCTTTTTGGCCAAATTTTAGAAAATATTAGTAACATTAATATTAATATTAAAGTTAATATAATTTTTAATCTCTTAAATTTGTTCTCATTTTATTTTTTATCCTTCAAATTTCAAATTATAAGTTTTAGTTTTTTTAAAGTGTAAAATAATTTAAGTTTTTATTAAATTATAATTACTAATGTTTTAAATAAAAAGAAATTTTAGGGATTAAAACTTCTGACTTAAAATTTGAGAAACTAAAATTAAAATGAGAACAAATTTATATCATCAAAAATTATATTAACTTTTAATATTATTCCAGAGATCTATGAAGCAAGCAGTAAGTTTTTTCCCCGAAAAAAAAAAAAAGTAACTCCAAAGTAAGTATTCCATCAATGCCACTTGAATTTGATAAATAGGGGGAGAATTGATGCACCAAACCCACTTGATGCCCTTGTCAGACAGGCGTCCTAAACGGCTAAACCACCTTAGCCAACCACGCCTCCATCCTTCAGGGCCTCAACCATGAGGCGGTTGTGGCCGCGGAGTCCTCTGTCCTGGGCCCCGCTCTTCCGCCTCCTCAAAGCATTATAAATACCCTGCTTTTTCGCATATCTACTTTTTCTTCTATGCCTTCCAATTTCAAATATTTTTGCCTTCTTTGTATCTGTGGCAGTTCCTCCACGCAATCTTTGCGGAGACCAACCCCAGAGGGGAAAAAACTCTCAAACCCTCTTCGTAAATACCCGCCTTTAATTCTACTAAATGTTTTGTTTTGTTTGTCGTTTGCAATATATGCTATCGGATCCTGATTATGCTTGATCGGGCTCTCAATTGGTGTTTCTGATTTTTTTTCCCTTGCCGTGCTGTGTTTTCTTTTCGATTTTCATATTATTTGGACTTTTAAGGGTTTGGGTAGGGTTTCTTTCATTGTTTTTGGCGATCGGGTGTTGATCTGGAGTTGGGAACCTCGTGTGCCAATTCCTAGGATCTTGATGAGTTTTAGAACTCTCCTTATCATCTGTCTCTGGTGGCTTCGTCTACGCTTCATCATCGTCTCTGAATTGTTTCACACCTTGGTTAATGTTTTTCGATCGGACGGTGAACAGTTGCTAATTTCTTTATGTCCTGCTTTTGTTGTTGAAAGGTGCTATGTTCTCGGTGCTTAGTCTTATTCAGCTCCTGCGATTAAGCACATCGATATGAATGTATCAGTTGATGATGTATCCATATAAATTTGACATTGGCATGACGTCTTGCTTGCTTTCTCTAGCTAAAGTTGTTGTCTTCCTTATGATCGACTTGGTCTTGGACACAGTGTTCTGCTTTGTATTCTGTATTTGGCCAATCAGGGAAAAAAATGAAAACCTTATGTATTGTTGTTCAACATTTTGCTTTATATAACTCAAATAGTCACAACAGATAATACTTTCATATTAAGAGAATTTCAAAGGCTCGCTGAGACTGGTTTTTTTAATTTGCAAAGCAAAAATCTTGCTAGATGTTAGAGTTCTGTAAGAGGACACTTGATTAGACAAGATACGAAGAGGTCCTGCAACTTTTACTAACCCTACCTGCTGTGGTCATTGCCCATTCCTGTAATCTTGTTCGGGGCCACTTGAAACTATTCGTAATTATTTTCTTGATTATGCCAATCTAGTTTGCAAACAGTATAATAACTTAGGCGCCATGCCAAATAAGCTAATGAGATTATTTGGTGACCCTATATACTACAACATCTATGAGATCTGCAGAGCAAAATAGCGACTCAGCTTGCAAGTTTCATTGATCTAATGATAATATACATATAGGTGAGTCTAGGGTTAAATTGTTGTAATCAAATCTGATCTTCTATTCTAATGTAATCTTAAAATTAAATAGGATCAGATCCTTATCTCCAAATGTGAATAATAATCAAATATAATACAATCAGAAATCAGAAACTAACAAAATAAAACATGCTAAACTAGTTTATTTGCCGGGCCGATTAAGCTGACGCCTTCTAACAATCTATTTATGCTTTGATTTTTCAAGGGTAGGAGGTTTATCTCATTTGATTTTTTAAAAATAGCAAAGTATTCTACAGGCACAGTCGAAGAGAAATGTTAAGGAAAACAGTTTAATTGTGCCCTCATTATTTGATTATTCTTTTTTCTTATATTGCTTCCTTGAGATTTGTTAGATTGATATCTTGTTTTGCTAAAACTTTTCTTTTTCTTCCTTTTTGGTGTCAAACCTGCAGATTTTGGGGCTAGTTGGTGATTCTGTTGTGCAGAAGTGTTCGTTAATTATATATTTGCCAAAGATTTTAGCATAGATTACTGCATTATTAGTTTACCTGCATTGGAGCATTGCATAAGTGTAGATTCTTTTGTGAAGTCAAGTAAGATACTGAAAATACAATTTGAGACTCGGAAGCCTTCAGTAGGGAATAACTAAAGCTTGTTCTCTTGGTAAGTTATGTACATAGTTTAATTTTACTAATTGTCATTTGTGTTGGAACTTGGAAGCAGTGAATTTTATGAATTAAATATTATCCTGCATTTGTTTATTTACTCCCTTCATTCTTTAGCACTAAAAAGGACGTCTATATTGATGTTCTCGGTTCCGTTATTCCGATTGAACATGGGGTTTGATATGGTTTTGAATCTAAGTAGGCCAATTATTCTTGTCTGTTATAATTTACAAGGAATAAATACAGTTCCTTCTCCTTCTTTGTCAAGTTATAGTTTTGAACCCTGTATTTGCTCATTGCAGATAATAGCTTTTATTTTTTTCCCCATTATCTAAGGTTTGGTTACTAGATTGGTTTTTTTGGGGGGGGGGATTCGTCAGCTTAGTTGGCTAGTGTAGTTTTTATTTATTTATTTATTTATTTCCTGTTAAATGAAGATTAATGGTGGATTTTGTGTTAAGATGTCCGGGGAGTGGAAAAGGTAAGTTAATATACTTTGCGTTTTGACTGATAATTGAATTAATAGAGTTGAAAACATTGGCACTGCAAGATTAACATGTAAGAACCTTATATCATTGCTTACCTCAAGTGTGATGATATTGGCTCTACAAGGCCAACATATGAAAATCATAGATGAGTTGTATTGGTTGGTGAAGGTGGCCCCTAATATCTGGGTTTGATGCATTCACTTACCCACACATTCAACCCCAAAATATCCTTAGGACCAACATGTGTGATGAAATTGAACCGGTTATTTCCAGTTTTGTTTTGTTGCTCTCCTAACCATACTTCTTTTGCCTGTTTGTGTAACTATATGTTTTTTTAAATGCTTATCTCCTGTTTTATATTAATTTTATTTATTTATTAATTATTAATTTGTATGTCAGAATGTGTCATATTTTACTGGCATGTTATCACGTTCTGAAAAATGGAAGTAATTTTTGGTGGGTTACATGCATCATCTGTTATTCTGATTAGTTTAATATTGCTAGTAGTTATTACTGTGCGTGGAAGATGACTGCTGTTAAGCGAAGATTGTATAGTGATTCAGATATCCATGCTCTTCACAAAGAATTGGATGAAGTTTCATGTCCTATTTGCATGGATCATCCACATAATGCTGTTCTCCTTCACTGCAGCTCTTACGAAAAGGGCTGCAGATCTTACATCTGTGATACAAGTTATAGGCATTCAAATTGCTTGGACCGGTTTAAAAAAATGCAGGCCAATTCTAAGGACAGTTCAAATTTATCCAGTTCTTTAGTAAACACAAACAACTCTGGTAATAGTTCTGATATTAATCTCAATATGCAACCTGACTTGAATGATGGTAATGAAAATCACCAAAATGAAATCAATACTGTATTATCTGTTGGATTGCTTCAAGGATCAAGACAGGGTGATGTTCAAGATCCAACTAGACATTTCAACTCGCCTAATGAAGGCATTTTAGAAACTCTTGATTCTGAGACCTTGCAGGACAGGGCTGAGCTTGAGGAGTTAGATGTGGATAATTCATCCGAGTCAAAATTGAGTTTGAAATGTCCCTTATGTCGAGGAACAGTGCTGGGTTGGGAGGTGGTTGAAGAGGCTAGAAATTATCTCAATTTGAAGAAGAGAAGCTGCTCTAGGGAGTCTTGCTCATTTGTTGGTAATTATCTTGAATTGCGTCGACATGCTAGGAGGGTTCACCCGACCACCCGTCCCTCTGATGTTGATCCCTCAAGGGTAAGAGCCTGGCGACATCTTGAACGACAGAGAGAATATGGTGATATTGTCAGTGCTGTTCGGTCAGCCATGCCTGGTGCTGTGGTTGTGGGTGATTATGTCGTTGAAAATGGAGATGGTAGGTTCTCAGATGATAGGGAAGGTAGCATGGGCGATTCGAACGGGGGGCCATGGTGGACAACCCTCTTCTTGTTTCAGATGATTGGTTCAATTGAAAATGCACGGGAGCCAAGGCCTCGTTCTAGAGCATGGACAAGGCATCGTCGACCAGCAGGAGGTTCATCTGACAGACGCTATCTGTGGGGTGAGAATTTGTTGGGTCTTCGTGACAACCATGATGCTGATGAAGATATGCGCATATTTAGTGATGCAGGTGAAGATGCATCTCCTGTACCAAGAAGAAGGCGACGCTTGACCCGGACAAGGTCCAATGGGGATCGTTTATGAGGTTTGCTGATGGCCATCATTGTTTCTGGTAAATTAACGATTCAATTTCTCAGGAGAAGCATTTATTAGCAGAATATGTTTCCAACTTTCCGTTAGCTTACCCAGTTGGCTTTTTCTCTGTAAATTGTTTAAATAGCATGCAGGACATTATTCAAGCGTTGGCTTTGATCTCACGGAGCGTGATGATGATGCTTTTATGGAATGAAACTAGGGAGATCGATGAGCCAGTTTCTCGTAGTCCTGGTATCTACGATTTTCATAAAGGTCCCTTCTGCCATCCAAGCACTTAGCTTAAGGGATATCAAAGTTATTGGTAAATCGTGTGTTTGTTAAGTAGGCATAGTTGGATTGGCCCCGGGGGGAAAAGAAAAGGTAGTCATATTGGCATAATCTATCAATTAACTTAATACTTTAGATGTATATTTGTCAATCTTTCTATTGATTGAACCATTGTTTCCAAGCATGTGAATAGTGTTGATCCCGTTTTTGAGTTATTTGTGATTTGTGATTTGTGATGCTACAATTATAGAATCATGTCACTTTGAATTTATGGATGTGTGAGTATGACTCTTTGGGTCAGATGTGTGAGTTTGACTCTTTGGGTCAGATGTGTGAGTTTGACTCTTTGGGTCAGGTGACCTGAAACAATTGAGATTTATGCTTGAGACGCATGGAATCTTATTTTATTTTGATATGCATTTTGATTGATATGAAATATCTTTAGTGAAAAAGTCTAAACTGAATAAAAAGTGAGACTGAAAAGAAGACTCTAGATTTAAAAAGAATATTTCTGTAGTTTCATAAAACAAAATAGAGTCAATGTATTTTTCCTTATAAATGGATGACTTCAAAATCAGCAATTCTAAAGTTAATACATTTTGGATTGTAAAGAAATAAAATTAAGTAGGCTGGGGTAAGAATTAACTCCCTCTGTTTTAAATAACTGTCATTTTAAATTTTGCACAAGGATTAAAGAATTTTTTTTTTTTGGTATACAGGATTAAAGAAGTTAATAAATAGCCTGAATTTCGATTTTTGACAAATATGTAATGGTATTTCACTAAAAAAATTTATTTACTATAAACACTTCATCATTAACAAGCATTTTTAATTTGTTGTAAGGTAAAATTAAAGCTCTTTTGTTTTTGGCCATCGGAAAATGAAGTTATATGAAGTAAATGAAATAGGTGGAGAAATGTTTTGAAAAAGTAAAATAAAATTACATATTGTGACTTTTCATACTCCGGCTTTGGGATATTAGTGTTATTCAAAAAATATCTTAAATTGTTGAATACGCCAAAAAAAAAAATAGTTTTGGGGTATTGTTTTTAATTCTTATAGATGAGGCAAAATTGTTTTTTTGTTGATTTATATATGAAGGAAAGTTAATTCAAGAGTTTGACTTCTTCCCTCCCCTATCTAAAAGAAGTTAATTATCATTGTTAGCAAAGAATATTCATAATTCATAAATTCAACCTAAAGAGTTGTAGCATTAATTAATGAAACATAATTTTATTAATAAAACGTGTATGCATAAAAAAGATAATTACTACTAGCTTGTGATCTTTAATATAAGAGTTAATTAATTTATTTGAGTAAATTAAGAAAACTAGTTAAGTTAATTGTTTATAATAAATATATTTGTGTTTTAAAATATACTTGCTAATCAAGTATATTATTGGTTAAAATTACTATTATTATAAGGATTATCTTAAAAAATAGATAAATATGAGAAATAAACTATATTAGAATTTTATATTTAAAACTAAAATAATAATCAAACGAGTTTTTATATTAAAGATTAGATGTAATATTAAATAATACTCCTCCGGTCCTTATTATAAGATCCAATTTGACTTTTTATTTGGTCCTAATTATAAGACCCAATCCATTTTGTTTCTTATATTTATGCATTTTTTTCCAAGATAATCCTTCTAATAATGATAGTTTTAGCCAATATACTTAATTAGTAAGGATATTTTAAGAATGACAATACTTATTTATTATAAATAACCAACTTAACTTACTTCTTTAATCTCCTCAAATAAGTCAATTGGGTCTTATAATTAGGACCGGAGGAGTAATAAAGATAATTTTGTCAACATTTCGCCGCAGGCATACCAAACGCCCCAACGGTTCTCTGTTGGTTGTCGCCTTGTGGGGATGAAAAGCAAAAGGTTGGAAAAATTTTAGAATCATAAATTTTATGGTTGGTATAAAAATACAAATTTCCCGACTATTATAGAATTTTTTTTTGGCTAACAAATATTAAAGAATTAAATATAGTTCCTTCCAGAATATGATACCCAACAAAAAAGAAATATTTTTGAATGATAAAACAGGCATTCCTTCTTTCTTTCTTTTTTTCTTTTCTTGTCTTGTTATGTATCTTCTATGGGAAAGAATCTTATTTAAAATACCATTGGACCCTAAATGTAAATCCTTTTTTTAACGGGATTTGAATTTTTCATTTTCTACATTGTTAAGGATTAATCCTTCTACTAAACTTAGCCGTTAATTTTTTTCCATGAATCCGCATATACCCTAATATAATCCGCTAGATTTTTGAAGAAAAAGACTGGGCAGTCTGTGAAGAAGCCACATCACGATCCGAACAAAGCAGTGATGCACAAAGTGACACATCAGAGGCTTCCTATCCATCATACTCAATCGAAGAAGAAGCCAAGAGAATATTACGAGGGAACCTCAAAAGCACGAAAGTGAATGTGTGTGTATTCTCAATCGCCATTTTTAAGTGCTTGTGCGTCACTCAGCCCCATGTGACAGCGACGCCTCCCTAATTTGTATCCACAGTACCTCATTTGCTTCCTGAAATATCTTCTGCGGCGTCCCCCACATGCTCAACTGCTACATTCCATTAATTAACATCTGCATGTATTATAGCATGACACTTGTGCCTGCCATCCTCCTCCTCCAAATGCATCTTTCAGACAAATTTAATTTCCCTTCTCTCTTGCTTCTTAATCAGCAAGATTGAGCTTCATGGTCCATGCATGTGCTTGCACTTTCTGTTCGAAGTTTTCCATGGCACTTGTGCCATTATCATGTATATAGTATTAGAATACATATGAATGCTTAACTGTGGCCGAATGAGCTTCAGCTTGAATTTCAAGTTGTGGCCTCTGAATCTATATATATTTTAGTCTCTAGTTCAAAGTTTGACCTAACCTGACTCACAAATATGTATAAATTTGGATCACACCAGTAGCGTATTATTAAGACATTTTTCTGTCAACTAAATGACACTGTGTAATTATGAAATACTAAACCAGTTAGCATTGGCAATCATAAAATGTTTGTTTGTTTCATCAACTTAGGATAGTACTTAATTGAACTATCTAATTATAAGACTTTGTTTGTAATCTTCAAACGATGTCTTATAAATAAGACTCAGGGTAGTATTTCATTAAATTATATATGAAGATGCCTTTGCTTAAACTAAATGAATACTCTCCCAATGGAATCACCGGCTAAAAGTTTGAGAAACAGTTTTTCTCAGGGTAATGTGCATCAAATTTTGAAACCCCTAGCATAACCTGGGTGATGTAGATCTCCATTTGATGGGCTGGGGTCCAAACACACCACAGGCATACAAGTTTATGGCAAGGAACAAGGCCACGAAGGCTAAACACATGCGTTTCTTAAGTAAATCAAAGTCTTCCCATCTGAACAGTTCCCATTGGGCTCTCCTATATAATATATTCCTCCCATGTTACTTCCGAATCATAAGCCAACCAATTCCCCGCTCACTGCCTGGTTGTCTCCCATTCTTCCTTAGACTCATCGCACTTTTATTTTGTCTTATTCTCGCCAAAGTCCTCACAGACTAGACAGGAATCCTAGGCTTCCAGACAGCACACACATAGATCTGTAGTGCTGTTCATTTGACTGATAAAGTCATCACACAGACCCACTTCCCCAAAATACTATATAAGTGAACATGCAGGTATTGCTCTTGTCATGTGAAGATAAGATAGTAGGATCTGTAGAAACTAGAAAGAAAAGCATTATTGTCATCAAACCTGATAGAGATAGTTCCTTTTTGGTGCTGAATGGCAGATCCTTCAACGGCTCTTCAAATTGGCACATGAGAAAGAAAGAGAGATCATCTTTAGTCCTGCAGCCTCCAAAAGGGAAACCGTCGGAGGTAAAGGTATATTCTTACTGTCGTAGAGTTAAAATTCTTAGGAGGTGCTTGGTGTTGGTTGCACTTTTATCTGACATTCCACTATCATGGTATTACATATTGAACATGCCTTATTAAATCTAGTATCGTTCTGTCAAAAAGAGAATACAAATGGTAATTTATCGAAGTCAACCAGGTTAAAGAGGCGTAATAGCGTACGTGCTAAACAAAGACGTTTTGGACGTGAAATGACATCTAAACTATGGTTTTCTAAATACTGAGCCTGCTTTTATTTCCGCATTTTCGATCTGAACTTAACATATGGTGTTCTTTCAGATCTGAACGCTCGATGGAAAAATATACTTCTACAGAAGCATCGAAGGGCATACAGACGAACAAGTGGTAGAGGAAGAAAGCATGGCTGGAACAAGAATGTAAGGATATTTGCATTCATATGTACGAAGGACATTGCTAACTCTTGCCTCTGCAGCACTATTAAGTCAAAGAGAGTAGGAGACTATAACAGAAGACAACATTTTTTGCATTCTACGAAGATGAAGAGAGAAGAAATAGAAAGAGGAATAGAAAACAGTAACAAGGTAGATTCAGTTGCTCACGTGGGAAACAAGGTTTTGCCTATAGCTGAAGAAAGAAGTGAAGGCACCTCAGAAAATCCGGATCAGAACAGAGGCGATAGGAAGAAGACCATTTCAAGGATGAAAGAGCTACTTAGATGGGCTGCGGCTGTAAAAACAGAGAAAGGACGAAAACTTAGTGGAAGGAAGGTAAGTGTTTTAACTTCTGCAATGATCCATTACTATATATTTAACAGTGGACTTGAGAGTTGCTCTAGATCGCATTCTCAATGACACAAAATGATCACGGGTGAGAAGAAATTTCATACATGTGCACTTCATTGTTGCAACCTTTTCATTTATGATGTCCTTGATGCATACGGGGTAGAATAATGATGTTTCAACTACCAAATTAATGAAACAAAATAAAGGAAAGAGAGAAAGCCACGATGGTGCATGAGACTGTTGAATTGCAATAAGAGACTGACCAAGGGAACAAAATGGCCATTGAATTCTTATCAGGCACTGAGGTTCAGAAGAGGAGGAACCCTTAAAGCAGTTCAGGACGATGGAGAAGTAAGCAATGAGTCACCCAAGATCAGTTTCGGATGGGAATTGGAAAGCTGCTCCACCACTTCCTCTGCCTTCTCAGCTATCTCAGTAGCTTCCACGTCAAAAACTGAGCAATCCATACCTTCATCGATTTCTAACCCGCATGAAGAAGTTGATTCTATCATTTATAGAAGGAAAGGCAACTGGATCACAACAGATTCTGAATGTAAGCCTAGCTTGTGCCCCTCTATATGGTTTCATCTCAGAAAACATTTTTTTGAGTATTTACTGAAATCAATTTTCAATCTTGAAAACCACAAAATACCTCTCGAGTATTAAAGATGTCATGAAAAGTAATCAACCTGGGGAGTTTTTTTTTTTTGGGGGGGGGGGGTGTGGTTTTCCAATTTATAAGTGGAAGGTACATTGGTAAATAGTTAACGGGCTAGTTTATACTTTTTCTTAATTTTGTTTTCTAATCTTGATATATATTTTAGTATCTGAAACTCAAACTGGCCACGCGTTTCAACAAACACCTTGCTGAAACTATTCACTCTGTATTTTTCGAGCAGTTGTGGTGCTTGAACTATGAAGAAGAAGCGGGGAAGGAAGGTGTTCCATGCAAGGCTAGCGGTGAAAGTGCTAAAGAGAGATCAACTTCATCTAATTAATTACGTTGAATAGAGATCACCAAAAAGAAAAAGGTCAATGGGTTTTGTTCGTTTCCAGTTTCCCTGATCAGAAAGAGATTAAGGGAGATTCTTGCAACCGCTAGAAAATAGAGAGAAGACGAGAGATGTAGTATCATTGCCTCTTATGGTCCAAATACAGTAGGCATGGGGTCAAATGTATCTTCCCATGTGCAGGAAATGGCAAAGCTCATTAGGAGTTCGATCAAGCACATTAATAAATTGTTGACTGATCTAGAAGAAGCCACGTGCATATGTTGTCCTTTTTGGTGAAACTGGAACATAATGCTTTTGTTATGTTGAATAACTAAATGATATAATTTGATTTAATAACTTTTTTTAAAAAAATAATGGCATGAAGTAGTCAAAATACATGTATATATAATAGTTTGGGAAAATTGCATTAAGATCCCACCACAGAGAAATAAATACAAAAAAGCCTTTTAAAATCATTAAATTAATCTGAAGTTTTAAGAAATTCATTGTAATCTGTAAGAGATTTCACTTGTTTAATTACTAAACTGCCCTTGTCTTTTTTTTTCAAATTATCATTTTTTTAGCAGTATGCGTTGATAACTGAAAAGGCAGTTGTTAATAACTTATTGTGCAACAATTAACAACTATTACAGTAAATATTAATAACATATTTTCTCAACACACCACAGGATTTCAAATTAAATATGCTTATGTGATATACTGACAAAATGTGTTATTAATACCTATCACGGTATATCGCGATAGTTATTAATTATTATACATTAAGTTGTTAACAATTATCCTTTTAATTATCAATGCATGTTTGAAAAGAAAGATGAAGGTGGTTGAATAAGTGGAATTTCTTATAATAAAGTCCATTAAAATTTCAGATTAATTTAATAATTTTAAGAGTATTTTATTTTTATTGAGTGAAACCTTAATGTAATTTTTCCTAATAGTTTTGGTTGTGATTTAAGAAAGGGATACAAGACATGCCAAGGGCAGCATGCCATAACCACTTAATGCTACTTATAGATATATAATTGCTAATATATGAGGGATGTAAAAAGCCCTCATTCGATACCAAAATTAATAGATATGGATTTTTATTTGGATTACTATTATTCTTAAGGATTAATATAATTTTTGGTTTCTTAAATTTGTTATTATTTTTATTTTAGTCTATCAAATTTTAAATTATAGGTTTTGATCCCTTTAAAAGATAAAATAGGCTAAGTATTTATTGAATTATAGAGGTTAATGTTTTAAATTTAAAAAAAATCTCAAGGTACCAAACCTATGATTTTTAATTCAAGAAACCAAAACTAAAATGAAAACAAACTTGAGAGACCAAAAATTAGGGAAAAAAATTGGTCAAATTGCTTATATCTATTATGTCAAGTTCTCTAATTACATGTGGACATGTATTCTTTTCTGTTTCATATAAATTTATAATTAAATGTTATTAAATTAAATGCTAATATTTCAAAAATAAAACATATGATTATATATGATTGGAGAATTTGACATAACAAATATAAATAATTTGATGTAAGTATTGTCTCAAAACTTATATTAACCCTATTCTTAATAACTATTGTCGTCAATGGTTAGCTCATTTTCAATTATTATCGAAACTAAATAAAGATAGCTCTTTTAAAATATTTTTTATGCACAAAGTTCAAGTAATTTCTCCTAGTGAACTAAGTCAATATTAGTTAATTTGTTGTCAATTTTTTTCTGAAGTTAGAGATTAATTGGGGGAAAAAAATACGCCTACCTGTTCTCTCTCTTCATATATGACTTTAATGAGATGAGATGAGATGGGAAGTAAGTATGAAAAGAAATGCTTTGGCCAAAGATGAAGAAAAATGATGTTTGGAGTACATGTCAAATGAAGGAAAAAAATATTGTGCGATGTTTGGTACCACAAAAGGAATGAAAACAATTTAAAAGCGGACATGGAAATTTTATCTTATAAAAAAATGGGAGAATAAAAAAAATTAAAACTATTAAATGACAATTCTGGTATGGTAACAAACAATGCTTTAATAGGCGACAACACTAGACTTACAAATAACAACACATTTTGTAGAAATTCTTTATTTGAGATTTAGTGATTTCAAATTTTTTATATGATTCTCCCAAGAAATGCATGTTTAAATATTTAAAAAAAATATAATTTTCTTAACATTAATTTTTTATGGGTCAGTATAATGCTTAGTTTTTTAAATTTGTTCTCATTTTGATTTTGGTCTCCCAAATTTCAAACAATAGCTTTTGGTTTCTCAAGGGATAAAATAGTTCAGGTTTTTGTTGAATTATAAAAACCATTATTTTAAATAAAATAAAAATTAAGGGATCAAAATCTATAATTTAAAATTTAAATAACCAAAACTAAAATGAGAGTAAATTTGAGGCACTTAAAAATTGTATTAACCCTTAACATAGGTTTGTCATTTTACATTGATTGCATTTTTAACCAACATAAAAAAATGTCAAATTTATTATGCAAATATATAAATAATTTTTTTAGTAGTGTTGGAAAAAAAATTAATACTCCTCTGATTTTATTTATAAGGTAAAGAGAGAAAATTTTTTTTCGTCCTATTTATAAGTTATTTTATTAAATTTTGGATATGAATATACTATTTTGTCATTCCTTTATTATAATGTAGTTAATTATTTTTTTGAATGGTATATATATCAAATAAAGGTAAAGTTGAAAAGTAATTATATTTTAATGAAGGGTTAATGTAATTCAAGATTTTTCTTAATCTATATAAAATATACCGAAAATGTCTTATAAATAAGACCAAAAAATATTGTATATTTCCTCTCATCTTTATTATAAAAGACTGTTAACTAATTCATACGCACTAATAAAAAACAGTTAAATGCATTAAACTTATTTTAAAATTTAAGCAAGTTTTAATATTACCCTAATTAACTACATAAAATTCTAGCATCATATTGATATTTACTCTCTCACTGCCATTATTAAATATGAGCATATATGAAAAAAAAAACATATATATATAATGCTCATTAAAACTATTAAAACTATCACGGTATCTTATAAAAAGAATTAATTTTTTTTTCCAAAAGGGATCTTATAATAAGAATAAAAGGGTTTTTTTTTTGGGGGGGTTAGCAGGAGGAAGTAGGTAGACTGTGTGATGTATGGATGAATATTCCACTTACTTGAATAAGGCGTATTTGACGTTGGCAACTGCCTGTCCCTGCCATAACATCTATTTAACGGACGTCCGTTTCTTTTTTCCACTTTGTAAATGTTACAAACTATGTTATTTAATGATTGTGATCTTTTATCCAAAAAAAAAACTAATTTGAATAGATTAAAAAAATAGTTAGATTATTTATTTATAAAAAATATGTGTTATTTTTGCTAAAATACCTATTTGAATTATTTTGATTGAAACTACCATTTGATACAAACTTTTTTAATATATGCAATCAGTAAGGTTAGTTTTGAAAAATAAAAGAGACAAAATACACTGATATTTTATATTTAAGTCTAAATTTAACTCATACTAACTCGTACATTAAGAATACATATGCATGTTTTTATGTCTAATTAAATATATTATGTTTGTCAGGCTCAATTTGATCACAATTAAATTATTAACTCTTAAATTAATGTCTAAAATAGTTTAATGATTGATTTGATTTTCAATAGAAAAAATTATTAAAAATACCTGTTGAATTTTAAAATGACACAAAGGTAATTGTCAAAATATCATAAAAATAGTCAAAATAATTATAAGAATATTCAATATTATTCCTCTTTTTTTAAATTTAACCGATTTTTTTTTTGTTATTCTTCCTCTTTGATACAATAAAAAATGAAAAGGTTTGAATTTTAGATTGAGAAAATAACGCACGGATGCCTTGTGAAAAAATTATTCATAAAAAAGGTCTTTTTTTGACCAGCAATATTCATAAAAAAAAGGTTCTAATAATACGAGGGATGTCAAAAAATCCTTACCCTGATAGTTCCCAAGAATAAAAGAGGATGGAAATAGAAAAACATTTTCCATTATTTGTTTGGTATCACTTTTGGTTCCAAAATCATTTTTCTTTGAAACAAAACTGAAAATTGCTAGCTCATAAAAAAAATTGAAAATTGTCATACCACTTAATTTATGAGAGAGTTGTAATTAAGTCTCCAAGAGGGATTTAATTACATTAAGGTTGGTTGATAACTAAAGAGTATATAATGACAAGTTCTAGTGTAAGAAATGATATATGTTTTCCCTCTTTACTTGTTATTTAGATTTTAGGGTAATTACATCTTTTTTTTGGGATCTAATTACAATTCTCTCTTAATTTATCCTCATAAAAACATGTAGATCCAAAATTGCCCTTGCTCCGAACCAAATGCAAATTCACTGTGCTTGTTTGGATCAATTATTGAGGCTCTAAAAGCTCTTTATTTTTTTGATAAGCCTGTTTGGAAAATTAGAAGGTGTTTGGCAAAGCTTATAAGTCATCTAATTTAAGTCCAAAAAACTGGATTGAAACAGACTTTTACGTAAGCTGATATTTGTAGCTCATAGGAGTCAAATCGGGCTTACTGTTGGAATTGTATATGTACGTGGGGTCCACCATCCAGTTCTGACCTTTCCCCTTCGTTCATTTCCCCCACCAGCCAATTGTTATTTGGGTACCATTAGGATAACTGTTGTTCTTTTTCTTCTTTTTTTAATTTGATTTTGTTTAATTAATTAAAAATTTAAAATTAAGCAGTAAATTAAAATATAAACTGTTTAAATATAATAATCCAAAGAGTTCAGGTTATGAAAAATAGTAGTGAGAAGTTACTCTTCTTCGATATGAATAAATTTTTTTCATTTTTTTATATTTTATTTGTTGAAAATTAAAATGCTTTAAATTATGAAAAATGTATGATATTCGTATTCTATAATAAGTAAAATTCTTATAAGTTCATTTACAAATTTTATTTAACAAAATTTTATTTTAAAAAAATTTCCTTTTTGAGGTACCTCACATATAAAAGTTGTCTCAAGTTAAAAAAATTATATAAAATTTCTCTTGGTAAAAAAAATTTTATTTTAAAAATATATATTACTTGGTTGATGCGAGATATTCAACACCAAATGGATATGTAGGTCCAATACCAAATTAATTTTAATTCATTATATTATGTCAAATTATTTTTTAATCATGTTTCATTACTTATTAAAACGCATACCCATTTTAATAATTTTACAAAGAAATTTATTTTTACTCAATTATAATTCAAATAATTTTTTACCAATCTCACTTTTATAAACTAA